TCCAGCAATCCAGTCCTGGTACCAGATTCTTTAATAGTGTTCTCAGTTGTAAAGCAGAGAAGTCAAATCTGGGTAACTCACACAGGAAAGGATTTTAGTGATAGATAATTGGTAGCTCATTTCAAGTAGAAAAAATATCCCACTAAGGGCACAATTTTCTCTTCACAGAAGAATAGGTGAGTCTGAAAGATGCAGCAGTAAAATTCATGTTTGTTTTAGATTTACTGTCTCTCCTGGACTGAAAACCATATTAACAATAGAGTGAAAGCCCAATAAGTCACAGGAGAAACTTTAAGAACGACATGTAGAAGCCTTAAGGCAAAATATGTTTACTGCCTAATGCACTGAGCATGGATGACATGGTGAATTTAAACTTCTAAGACAGAAGAATTATATTCAACTATACAGGACTCCCTGAGACTTGGGGTGATAAAAGACATGTTTGTAAAACAGCAAAACAAGGATGGATCAAGTTTTTTTAAAAATGAATCATGTAAAGCGATCTATATTTTTATGGGAATGTATGCAACTAAGAGTAAAAATATGCTGAAGAGCATTTGCAAAAATAGAGAGAAATCACTCAAATATATGTTTTAATGCAGGTTAACTATGCACATGCATCAAACAGGTACACACAGAAAATGTTAACCTTTTCTGATACATATCAACAAGATGGCTCACAAATAGGCTCATGCAGAACTATGAAATTTCTATTTTCTATGAAAAAGAGGGCTCAGTATACACCAACACATAGGGCCAGTATACATCAACAAAATGAGGTGGCTCCAGAAATAGAAAAAAAAAGTTTAATTTTTAAAGTTTACTAAAATATACATAAAAATGTTCAGATGTGTCCAGGAAATAGATATATAAGAAGATAAGATAACACCTTAAATCCATTTATATAACAAGAGAATATATGCAGAAACATGTTTACTTATAACACAAGTATAATCCAAACCATGATATAAAGATACTGACATCTAAAACCTTAGAGAAAAATAATGATAGTAACTTAGTGATCAATTTGTGATAATAGCAGAATAGCAACCATGACCACAATTGCATATAAGTTATTCTATGTTATTCTATGCTGCAATTAAAGGAAAGTAACCTATATGAATTCTGAAGACAGTGAATAAAAAATGTATTTTACTATATCTCCAGAACTATCCAAGAAAGAGATAAGGCCTGTCGTCATAAACTGTCTGTCAATTTTTGAAGTAAATCTGTTCTGTGGCAAAGGTCATCTTTCAAAAATTATATCTCAATAAAGCTGTTATTTTTTTTCTAAAAGATGTAATTTTTTTTTTCAAAGGCATAAAGATGGTTTGGATTAGCATAGTAACATTAAAGGTAACAGGAAATCGGATTCTGCCTGCATCAATTTAATTTTACATCACTATATTCTGAGTGAGAAAACATTAAGCAAAGCATTTTTGAGCTGTCAATCTATGTTTAGTATGCAAAGTGAGGACAAAATGTTAAAACAACATTATTTACTTTAATTCAATTAATTAATTAATTTGGTGGTTTGGTGTGGTTACTTAAAAGGAAATAATGTCTCACCTTGTTTTACTTTATCTTGGTAGTAATGAAACAAGAGAAATAGTTCTTCATCCAGAGTAAAAAATAATGTAAAATCCCCATTTTCTTTTAAGAGTCCACGGAAAAAGAGCAGTAAAAAATTTAAAAATTATGATGAATTAACCAAACAAATAATGAGTTTGGTGATCTGAAACCTAAATTACTTTAATGAAAAAATAATTATCTAAGAATTTATATCTCATTTTTAGTATGGATAACTGCCTTTTAACTATAAAACACAGATATTTTTAAATCCCAACTATGCTGAAAATAAAAGCACATACACCATCTATAAAGAAGTATAGATTTTTATCATTATAGCCTCAGATATACAGACAAAAGCAGAAGAAAGAATAAAAAGAATTGTGCTAGCCTTTTTCACTACTCAGTCTCCTGTGTGTGTTTGTGGGTGTTGGGCTACATGTGTGTGTGCACATTTGTGCATGCATGGCGTGGCATGTATGACAGAGACAGTAACACAGAGAGAGGATAAAGGGGAAAATGCAAATGGTAAGTGCAAACAAGATAAAAAAATAGAAAAGTGGCAGGATAAGATGATTCACCTCTGGGATCCAAATTTCTGAATTTAAATTGCATAACAGATCTGAATATATGTAATGATGAACTATCTTTCCAATTTTTATTCCCCACTCCATTGACCTCCCTTCATTTAAACAGCTCTTATGATCACAGTTGGGACCAATTATTTGACATTTAAGCAGTGCTTTGCATTATGAGGTACCTTCTATTTTTTTTCACTAAGATAAGGGGTTTTTTAAATTTTATTTTAACATTTACTTTTACATATTTTGGGGGTATAGTGTGTTGTTTCAATACATGCATGTACTGCACAATGATTCACTTCGGGAAAATGGTATATTTATGTATTCGTTAGTCCACCACACTTAGCTAAGTTGTAATGCCTTAAGGCAATTCTCATTTTAAACAGTCCCTAATATAGGAGCATGCTCATAAAATACTCAGTGTGGATGACTGTTATGTCCAGTCAACAGGTGGCAAAATTACATTTTAATCATGTTGACAAAAATAAACATGTACCTTAAAAATTGGTATTATTGTTGTTTTACTTTTAATCTATGAGTAGTTGATTGAACTTTTTTCTCCATTCAGACCTGTCATTTACTCAACTAAATTTATTATATATTGGGCTACAAGGATACTTGCCTTAGGTTAATATCTGTTATTCATGATTCCCTAAATAGCCAATGTGCAATTCAGCCTTTTTACTTGCACTTACACTTGTTTTCCCAATTTTGATTATCCCTCTCTCTCCCATCAATGTGTCCAAATTTGCTATCTTTTGAGGCATAGAAAGTCATGCTTATTTTATAAATACTTCTCTGACTATGCCAGTTAAGTTTTGATTCTGATTCAAAAATTACTCTATTTCCAATCGTCTAGATTCCAGTAAATGACATCCTCATCCTTTCACATCCCCTATACCAAACCTGAGACGTACCACAGCCCTAGCATTAAAAACATCTGTAGATAAATCTTTAAAGTATTAAGTAGAACTACTTGAAATTACCATTTCATGGATAAAATATAATTAAAAGCCAGTAATGTCATATGGTTTACCCTGATGCATCCAGAATCAGACTTCCTAACACTTTCAATGTTATCATGCTAGTCCAAGCCACCACCATGTCTTTGAAAACCAAATATCACGTCTTTGAAAAAAAAATAACAGCTTTATTAAAATATAATTTTTGAAAGATGAACAGTATATATTTTTTTTCCTTTTTGTCTTTTTTCGTGACCGGTAACGGTATCGCAACCCTCGGTGTCGCGCCCCACCGCGCTCAACCAGTGAGTGGACGGGTCTCCACATGGGATCTGAACCCTCAGTGGGAGCGCCGCCGCACTCTACCGAGTGCGCCACTGGGTCGGCCCGAACAGTATATTTTTTAAATACCTAATGGCTACAGATGAAATGGCCAAATTTAGCAGGGTTCTCTTAGATAATGGTGTATGCAAATACTACGTAATAAAAACTTCTCTTCTCCTCTTACATACAATATTGTATATTATTCAAGCAGTATGTCCACCTTAAAGGACATGTCAAATAATTTTGAGGACTGATTAACAAAGCCTTAAATGAATAAGTATTTTAATCTGATTTTCAATAAGTCAAAAATATTAAGATCTTAGGATTACCAGTCCTAGCAAGCAATAAAATTTAAATAGCCATGTTCTAAAATCAGAGAATCACCGACATCTTATAAATAATATTCTAGACTAGGAAGCCAAAGAACATTTAACTTGCTCACAATTCTATTTTTAACTCTAAATGATTTGAAGTGTGCTGCTGGACAAGTAATTTATCTTTTCTAACCTTAGGTTCTGCTTCTTTAAAACAAAGCTAATGCAATCTGCTGCCATTCATAGTTTCTCATGTATTTGGCGGTGCTGAGAAAGGTGACATAATTATAACATGGATGAATTTTTGTATTTGGGAATTGCCTCTCAAAAGAAAACAATTCCTGCAATTAAAGCTTTCAATGTGAGTACAGAGGGATATATTAATGTCATATGAATGAAAAATAACAGAACTATAAATACATAGAAAACAGTATGGTAAAGGAGGAAAAAAGTGAGAGTCAGGCACATCTCAGTTTGACTCCATACTTCCTGAGTGTAGGAATAATAGAAAAATTAAACTGCTTGGAGCCTTAGTGCTTTATCCTTAAAAGAATAACAAGCACTATTAGAGCACCTAATATAGTTCCAGAAGCATGGTAGGCATTGAATACATGTGTGGTTTTTCTCCTTGCTAAGGACTATCACATGCTAAGGACTAGACATAAGATCATGGGTCTAATGAAAAGATAACCTGAAATACTATCTTTGTATGGGTCATGTGTGATAACTTCTGAAATGAGTCATTAATATTTTCATTATTTTTTTAGTTAGTTGGCATTCCCCATAATATAATCACATCAAGAAAATGAATTCTTTATTACAAAACTGATTATTTTAAAAAGATGAAAAAAGCATGAGGTCTTTGAAGGCCCCAAAAGTCGGCTGTTCAATATTTATCTTTTTGTCTATTAAATACTCTTTATAGACTTCTTTTAATTCCAAAAGGTATATATGCACTTTAATCCGAACCTTGACAACAGAAGATTACAAGCTGGTGAGTATGTTTCCACCCTTTTATGCATGCTAATACAAACATTCACATATGACTTCTTATTTTTTATTTACATCTGCTGTATATATATCCTGAAATATATTTTGGAAATCCATTCACATCTACAGATATAAATCTAACAACAATAACTATATTTTGTCATCAAAACCGAGAAAGTCTGTACTATTACAATTATGCTTGGAAAGCAATTCTAAATTAGAACTGTTCTGGAAAATCAAGATATATGGTCACACTAGATCAAACTCACTGTTGGCAGTTTGATAGTACTTCATAATGCAATTACCCCAAAATATAGTTAATACTCTCTTAATCGATGTGCATTGAAGTTGTTTCTAGTTTTAGGCCACTTAAAACATAAAAAGAAATAAGTGATGTAATAAATATTCATTTTCTGGCAATTCTTTTCCTATAGGGTAGAATCCTAAAATTACATTGCTGAGTTTATGCTGTAAAGAAAAAAAATAATATTATCATAGCACATTCCGAAAAAAACATCATTTCACACTTCCTCTAATGATATTTGAGAGTGACAATTTACCCACAAGGAAAATCCCATAGTGACATAGACAGATTTCTTAATCCTGTTTTCTGATTTATTTGTATTTTTTGTAGTAACGTTATATTTTTGTTGATAAGATGTTTAAAAATTGTTAATTAAAAAATTTTTTTCAGTATTCACTGCTCCATATGAATGCAAAATTATCTAGTTTATATCTTGCCAGCTACCTGGATATCCTTATGCACAGTATTCTCTAGGACATTTGTTGTGTTCCTGAATAACTAAACTATAACCTATTTTTTTTAAAAAAAGATGTATTGTCAATGGATACAAAATTACAGCTAGACAGGAAGAATAAGTTCCAGGGGTCTACAGCAGTGCTAAGCATCTATAATTAACAATAATTTACTGTATGTTCTCAAATGACTAGAACAGAGGAGCTCAATGCTATCATCACAAAGAAATGGTAAATTTTTATGATGATGAATATAGTAGTTATCCTGATTTGATTATCACACATTGTTTAGATGTATTGAAATGTAATTCTGTACCCCATAAATATTTCTATCATTATGTCGATTAAAAAATAATTAATCTAACAAAATAAAATAAAGGGAAAAAAAAGATGTCATCAGGGGATTGTGAAAGTACATTAATTTAAAAATAAGAGCTGCATTTATGTTTCTGTCATCTCTTGTTATTTTCTTATAACAATAAAATGTAAAAACTATTCCAAAACACATTCTAAAACTTAGATGCAATAGTATGTATCTTTTTTATGCACTTTTTAAAAATGTCTAATGTGCCTTGAACTTCTTTTTGAGTAGATTTATAAATGTTAAGAATAAAAGAATAATCATGAAAAGCATATTTATTTTATGCCCTGATTTGGAAATTATTACTTTTTTAAGAACTTCTCAGAAAACTTTGCATTTTGCCAGTTGTATGACTCAAGGTAGCACTTGCTAGTTGCTATAACAAACAAACCAAAATCTTGGTTGCTTAATTCAGCAAATGTTTGTCACTTACACAAAGTCCAGTACAGATGTTCCTGGCTGAGCTATTATTCTGGGCAGCTCCATCCAAGAAAAAAAAATCCCAGTGTCCAAGTTTCTACCATCAACTAATTCTGCTTTCTTGGAGCATTTTACTTCTAGACAGACACTGAGTGAGATAATGGAAGATCATATCTTTGATGGGCAGGCAATAATAAGTTCTCTCTAGTCTATTAACTAGAGCCAGTTACATGGCTCCAACCTAACTGCAAGAAATGCTGGGAAATTTAACCTTTTTCTGTGCTGAGGAAGAGAAAAAGCATATTGTTCAGCCTTTAGAAAATTTCAGCTATGAAAAGCACACCAATCTAGAATCCTTTTGAGAAAGTAAAGATTGGCAATAAAAATAAAATTCCCCAGTAATAGTTTGATTTACTAAAGTTGCCCTTATTAGGACCTTGGTTTAAAGAACTGTATCTTAAATATAGTGTTTTTATTATTTTGTGCATAACTCTATAAATAGAAGTGATTTTTTTATTAAATTTCATAGAAAACACATTTTACTTAATTAAATCCCTTTCTAAAAAATTGAGTGATAGTCAACATTTAGCAATCAACCAAGATGGGATATCAGAAATACTCCAGAAAAACGCTATGACAGACCAAGACAGGTGAAGTACATCGTGAAAATTCACTATCGTGACTGTATTTCAGTGGTTACATTATATACTGGATATAACTTTCATGTACTTATTGATGGGGTGCATAACTGCCTACAATCCGATTTTATTTTTCATGAATTATTTTATGAGGGTTTTTTTAAAGAATTAGTTTTGTTAGATAATATAAACAAAGGAGAAAAATAATATATTATAAAAATACCGCATTATAAAAGCCTGGTTGGAATTATCAGTAGCTATAACACTAAATTCATAACATGCAAACTACAGTAATTTCTAACAATTAGGCAAACTTTTGCAATATAAATATTGAACCTAATCAGGAAATACAACTTATATTTATAGAAGTTGTAATTATAAGTTTATAAAATTACATTTGTACATGTATAAAATTGGAGTCTCTCTAAAATATTGAAAGTTGGCCTGAAATTTTATATGAACTTTTTCTAAAAATAAGTTTTAAAAATACAGGTTTTTAATCAACCTTCAAAATGGTTTAAATCTGATATCTGACTAATATAATATTGTCTGGTAAATCAGCAAGGCACTCTGGAATGGCCCGGTAATTTCCTATCAGCTAACATTTATTATAATTTCCTTTTGTTTATAGACTATCATAATTTTGGAGCATACAAAGAATTTTCTAAGTGAAGATACATTACCTATACTTTTATATGACCTGCCATCTAAATTCCTTGCTGAAAATAAATTTATGATTAAAACATCTTGATTACAAGATTGGAGAATCAAAACCTAAAAATGTTAAGGAATAAAATTAAACTAATTGTTCTCAAAATGTTTCATGTCCAGGTAAACAAGAGATACATCATGAACTCCACTTATGATAATTCTGCATAGTAACATTTAAAGTTATGTTTTTCACAGTCAGAATCAGATATCTATTTCAATATCATCTATGTGCTTGGTGGCTTCACCTAAATTCATTGAGCTAATATCTTTATAATTCTGTTTCAGCAGAAGTATTACTGGTCATTAATCATCACCCTCAGAAAAGTCTAGCTTCTAATAATACTTTCTTTTTCTGGAGAGAAAAATATGAAGCAATATTTAAACACACAGATTCTGATTTAAAAATATGTAAATTCTACTTTTATTTACCATCGGAAGAATTCATCCATCCACATACTTGATATAGTTATATTTTTAAGTTATAATCTATCTACTATAATAAATAATTTTATATAAGATAAACATATAATTATAGTGAAAAATTGTTGAAAGTAGCAGGAATGTACTATTGGGAGAGAAAGGAGGAAATAAGCAGGTAGTTTACTTAGGTAAAGGGAGCTCATTAAAGGAAAAGTTGGTGTTGTTCTTCCTGAGGGCATAGGATAATTGGAAAATATCATGGTTTACACCATTTATGAAAAGGAAGCATACCATTTGACATAAAGAGATAAACTTGTTCTGGAAATCTAGTGAAAATTTACCATTAACTGAATTAGTGAAAATTTTGTGAATTGATTGAACTTAAACCATTAAGAACTTAGCTGCATAAGTGTTTGGGAATTTTAATAATCACTGATATGTAAGACCATCAGAAAATGAGACTACTTATTTGTAAACAAATAAATTATTGTGTGACAAAGAGCTATTATTGAATTTACTGATTTTTATAAATGTTTATAAAATCATAAGTCATTTTCTACCTATCATAATCTTTTAAGAACTCCATCTTGAAGACAATGTAGATAATGACCCTAAAACAGAAAATCAACCCAGACTTTTTGAAGGTATTTTGAAATCAGTGAATTTGTGGACAAATATTCTAAAGTATCTATTTTTCATCCAGTGAGGAACCAGGAATAATGGCTTAAACCTCCTAATATTTGATGGAAAGCATCCATCTACACATTTAAGAGCCTAAGTAAACACCAGTAGGATAAATTGAAAGATACCTACAAGTAGACACATCAAAGTTAAATTATCTAAAGACAAAAAATGAAATCTTGAGAGAAGCAAGAGGAAAGTGACTCACCATCCACAAATGATACTCAATAATTTAATATTATTTATTAATTATTTAATATTATTATTAACAGCAACTTTTCATAGGAAACCATGGAGGCCAGAAGGCAGTGGAATGACATGCTCAAAGTGCTGACAGAAAAATGCTGCCAGTCAAGAATTCCGTATTTAGCAAATCTAGTCTTCTAAAATGAAGGAGAAATAATGACATTCCCAGGTAAAGACTGAGAGAACTTGTCACCTGCAGAGTTGCTCTACAAGAAATAGAGAGTCCTTCAGACTGAAAAAAAAAAGACAGTATGTGGTAATTTGGTTTCAAGAAAAAAATAAAGAGCATGAGCAGATATAATTATATAGATAATTACAAAAGACAGCATAAATATACATTTTAATTTTTTTCAATTACAAAAAAGAAAATAGATCACTCAAATAACATATCAGGAGTGGTGGAGCTGACCTAGAAAACCAAATATTTGTACTTTCAGTTTACAGCTTTTAACTATATCCATGTAATGATACCTCAGGTGGAGGAAAACTGTGTACTTATTAAATACATGTGAATACTGAAGGCTATTATTAGATATTACTTTGTTAAAATTTAGCCAAAGTGTATACAAACGCAGTGAAATATTAGGAAATGAAATAGCTGCATAAGGAAAATGAATTAAAGAGATTATTTAAAATTATCAGTTAAATTGTTAGTAAAGTGTAGTCATTACAATATCAACTCAGGCACAAGACTGTCTGGGTTTGATTCCCAGTTCCATCCCTGAAAAACTAGGTAGCATTAAGCAATTCACTGTGAATGGAAACAAGTGGAGAAAGCACCATGTGACAGTTGGAAGTTGGCCTGGTATTCGCAGCTAGCCACATACTTCTTGGTGTGGTTTGAATGCCCCCACAAGCTTGTGTTGAAACCTAACTTCCAATGTGGTGGTGGAAGGTGGGGCCTTTAAGAGGTGATAGGGTTGTGAGTACTGTGTCCTCATGAATGGATTGATCCATTCATGGGATAATAGGTTTTCATGGGCATGGTCTTGATGGCTTTATAAGGAGAGTAAGTGCGATGGTTAGGTCTCTAGCTCATGCCATCCTCACTGTGTCACACGCTGCATCACCACAGGACCCCATAGAGAGTTCCCAACAAGAAGAAGGTCCTTGCCACAAAAGGCCCCTGAACCAT